AGAACTACAACCTTTTTCCACCATGTTGCGGCTAACCCAATTAGTTGAGGCTCAACTGCGCGAACCCATGTAGCAGGGTGTATATTTGCTTCATGCAAAATACGTTCTGCCGTCATAAGGAAGCGTGCTGGGTCCTCCTCCTTGTTACCCGAGAATTGAGGGAGTGATGCTCTCGCAGCCTTTAAGTCGTGCAGTGATATTAATAACGTGTGATTACCTCTAGAATCGCAGTCATCATTACCAAACTGTACGGTACGGTCTGGTTGGTTCATAGAACGCAAATCAGTGCCAGTAAATCGTTCAGTGCGGTAATGGGGCTGATAATTCCTAGAGTTATTACTATCCATTTGGTTGTTTGGGTCCCAACCCGTGCTATTCAATAATGGACGTGTTTCCCCCGTTAAGTGACGTACAGTGTTACCGAGTGTCGTCAGCTGTGGATATAGTTCCTGCCTAATCTCATGTCGGTTTGTGCTAACCTATCATAAAGAGAAGTTTGCTGACGATCGGTAAATGGTCTGTTCGTATTACGGTTTGGGTTGACAGCGTTATCATTAATTGGTGCCGGGTCTACAGGTCTAAACACAGATAATTTAATGGACTGAATGTCTTGCTCGATAGAAGAGATTCTATTGCTAATCTTATTTTGTTCCATTTGAAATCGTGACAGGGCTGTTTCGAAAGCGGTTACTCTCAGTTCGAGATTCTCTAATGCTGTTTGGGTGCGAATATTGTCCCTAATAGCACCTATCTCTTCACTTGCCGAATACATAGAAGCGTTGATGTCGGGTGCCTGGGTATTCGATACACCAAAGTTGTTTGTGGTAGGGTGGATGGTTGTGAATGCACTATACTGATTGTGGGTGTCAGGTGTGGGTGAACTTTGTGAAGATAGTGCATTCATATGTGTGGGTGTGCGATGAGGGGTGAGTGGGCGCAGGTGGTCCTCATAGCCAACACCACCATAGGTTTGGTCTAAAGGATTCACTTGCGCTTCACTATCTCTATTTCGTGCTACCGTGTTATTCTGGGGCACATCTACTATATCAACCGGGTCTAATAATAAAAACATCTGCTGGAATAGGTGGCCGGGGTGGTAGGAAGGTGGTGGCTGGGTTGTTCCCTTCTGTCCTAATTAAGGCCTCAAGAATACAAAGTAGTTCGTTACGGCTAGCGGTGTGAGGAATATTCCTGAAAGCACATTCGCGTTTGATCTCGGTGAGAGACATTTTGTCTAATGTTTTTGCCATTTCCGAATTTAGTGTAAATAAAAGTGGTGAAAAGAAAGAGTAGAAAAAAAAAGTATTTAAAAATTGAGAAAAAAAAAAAAACTGAGTTAGTATGTATTTAATGGAGTGGGTATTGGTTATATTTATATATATCTATATATAAATTCAATACAATCACTATTCCTATTAAATAAGAAAAATTGTTGAAAGAAAACAACAAAAAACTGAAACTAAAATATTTATTAAATAAACAAGAGGAAAAATAAAAACAGAAAATATTTTTTTGAAAAGGGGGATGAATGAGAGAGGAGAAAAAAAAAGTTTAAATAATTAATAAAATTAAATTTGCTAATAGTATAATAAATATGAGTAGTACAAGGTAAAGGAAAAAAAAAACTAAACATTTTTTTTTTAAAAGGAAACAATAGCTGATTAAAACTTGAAAAAGAAAGAGAAAAAAAAATGTGTGTGTATATGTTAAGTATTTATGTATATGATGTGATTTTTTTTTTTTTTAATAAGAATAATGAAATGTGAAGGGCAAAAAAAAAAAAAGTTTAAGCTAGTGGGTATTGACAATAAATAAATAATATAAATATTTTTATAAATTCAACACTGTCACTATCTTTTGATAACTGATTTTTTTTTTTTAAATTTTGATTGTAAACTAAATTTATTTTATCGGAAATGGAGAAAAACTTTTTTATTTGACAATCGCTATACGTTGCTGTAGTAATACTCAATCTATTAATTATACTTCTGTTGGCTTTAATTTTTTTTGAGAAAAAAAAACAACAATAATATATATAGTAATGTTTAACCACAAAATGTAACTAATCGTACTGTGTTAATCGAAAATTAGATGTATTTTTCTATAAAATATAGTATACGCTAATTACGTAAACAAACAGTACGGATTACTATGGCAAACGAACTTAAAATTATAAAAGTATTGGACTTATCGTTTTTGTTAGCAATATAATTTTTTTTTGATTAAGCGTTCAGACACGGCGTTTTATTCAAACNTTTTTAATTAAGCGTTCAGACACGGCGTTTTATTCGAATTTTTTTCTTTTCTTAAATAATTATAAATTGAAATATTAATTAATTATAAGCGAAATTTATAGAAATAAACGATCTGTGTCTGTTAGAAGCAAAGAAAGTTAGATTAAATTACTGAGCTTATTGTATAGCGGAAATTTTGCGAACGCGTAGTCCGTTGTAATAATAACAACAATGTGATAGTAGTTATTATACGTAACCTTCAACTCTACACCTATGATTACGTAACGTGATGGCTGCCTACAACTATAATACGCGTAGCGTATATGTAGTGTGACAGTGGAATTCAACAATTACTCAAAATTTACTAAAGCGGTAGTATACTTCAAAAGCAATTTTTTTTCAGTAAGCAGTGGTCAAATAAATCCTACCTGATTTTTTTTTGAAAACTGCACCGGGTTGATAACCTCTGCGGGGAGCCAAAAGTTGTCACAGTATAAAGGTATTTTTAATAAAATAAAAATGTAACACCGTTAAGTAGTCGATTAACTTTATTTTATTTAGTAATTTATATATAATATTATAAAAACTGGTGGCAGTGAGGTGCGAAATACAAAAAATTGATAATGCGCTGATGAAAAGATCACACGGCACGTACGGCGGATGTCAGTTACCGATTAACTGGTTTACATAATCGCCGACGTGTCTCGCGGTGCTGAACCCCCTGACCTGTCCTATCTACCGACTGCCGGATAAGACAAACTTGTGTTATCGTCAACACTAATGAGTGCGACGGTGGACAGCTGATAATCACGACCGGATAACGTGCTAATTCACGGTAAATGAATAGTGCGCTATTACGGGCCGTGTCANCGAGTCAGAGTGTAAATCCAGGTACGTAATGGCAGATGAGAACAGAATACGGCAATGATAATGTTTAGTGATGGTCAGGGCCCAATCACTAGTGGCGTGCAAGGGCACGTAAACTTTGAGCACAAGGGTGCAATAAACAAATAATAAAAAATTATGCCATACAATGGCCGAATAATTTACTATTCAAGCGAAGGCGCTTGCAACAGAAAAAAGGTGACACGTAAAACAATACTACTGACTTATGACAATGAACTGTACATGGATGAAAACCGACACGGAGGTCATCGATTTGCTGTGATGGGTGGGCAAGGGGGTGAGTAAAGCAAGATGCTGGTGATCAGCTGTCCCACGAAATAATATAATAAATGATCTTTATAACAACTGGTCAACTAGATTCTTCTATAGGCTTTCTGTACCATACAATCGTCCATATTCTGTTGTCTACTTCTGACACTTGTAATGTTATTCTTTTAAATTTTAGTTAAAGGAACACTCAAACAAATATTTTTTTATTAAATTTTATAATTAATTAAAAATGAATAACATGCACTAATATACTAAGAAATAAATAAATTGTAGAAACGTATTGTTCAAACTATAAGATCAGAAATTTATGTGAATATATTATCATTATTTGGAACATGAGCGAAATAAAGCAAGTGGTTGATGGACACTTGGAAAACTACAATGAGACGACAATTATTAATTAAAATTGTATTTGTTTATAGTGACAAAACATTTAAACATTTTAGAAACAAGAAATAAAAAGTACACCGTCTCCCTGCGCAGATCATGAAAAAGAATCACGTGAGAGTGATCGATTTGCTGTGATGGGTGGGCAAGGGGGTGAGTAAAGCAAAATGCTGGTGATCAGCTGTCCCTCGAAATAATATAATAAATGATCTTTATAACAACTGGTCAACTAGATCTTTCTAAAGGCGTTCTGTACCATACACTTATGATAGTTCTTTATATTCAATACTCCTTTCACTATACAGTACTTCTTTACTACACCTTCCCCCTTCCACTATATATTGGTTTACGACATAATTAAAATATTAAAATTGGGTAGGGTGATACATGTCTTAGTTTTTTTAATTCCTTCAAAAGTATTATATACTTATTATACGGTCGAAAATGAGCAAGATACTCTTGAGCAATCTCGACTGACGTCTACGAACCTTAATTTGGTGTTCAAATTATTTCTATCTAACTGCTATCTATTTTAAGAATTTAAATAAGAACAACAAAAGGCGAATCAATTGTATTAATCCTTATAAATACATTTCAATGACTATAGGATTTCAATTGTTTTAAATAAGATTTTATGAGTAGTCAGAAATCATTATTATAACAGTAATTAACTCAATTATATTGTAACAATACACGGTACACACATATTAAAAGAATTAGGAGAAAAGCGTCCGTGCTGTTTTAGATTTCACTCAAGGAAGGAGTTTGATATTATATTATTTACTCATCACTATTATTAATAATTTGATAATTACGTTAACTTCAGGTATATTAAAATTTAAAAAAATCACCTCAATTTAGTAAGTGAATTATAGGTGTTTAAGGTTATCATAAATATTTAATTAGACACTAAGTTGGTTTATCGCTTAATGTAGTGCGTTTACAATAACGAAATTTAAATCTACATTTTTTATTGAGTTAGATCTCTACACCATTTGAGCATAAATCGTGATGTAGATTTACCAGGAATAATATTTTTTGAATGTTCTTTTATTAAGAGATTAAATTGAAAGGCTAGTTGAGAGTAATTATTAAAAGAATAAATGTTACTTAATAAACTATAATTTTTTTTTCAATTAACTGTATACAATTTTTCATCTTTAAACCTTTTTTAATATGTATAATATCTAAAATAAGATAGCTCTTCTGTTTCAAAGACAACTCCAATAGTTCTCGTACAATTATTTTGGAAGAGATAAATGCACTTTTTGCCATCCATATCTTCTTCAAAGTAATTGAGCCTCTTCTTGTCAAAAAACATCCATTCATTTTCATTATAATAATAAAATATTTATTTATTTATTTATAATATACGGGTGTTAACCCTTTAACAATTAGAATATTTATAAGTACAGCAAAAATAATTAATAACATAAATAGTTACAAAAAAAGAAATAATAATGACATGTTTGTAGTGAATAAAAAATATAATAAAATATAAAAATAATAAATTATACAAGAGAATTTGAATTTAAATTTAAAGCCAAATAAACATTCTGTCTGAATACAAAACGCGACATAGAAAAAAAATCGATATGATCCATAATACTGTTAGCCAAAGATAGAGTTCTTGGGAAAAACGAGGAGGAAGTATAAATATTTTTAGGAAGAGAAATAGAAAAAAAATTAGATTTTCTTAATACGTGAGTATGTACATTAAAACCAATGTGAGATAATAATTCCGGAGAATAAATAAGACCATTTAATAAGTCATATAGGAACATTATATCCGCAACATTTCTCCTCAAATCACAAGACACGATCCCCAATTGGGAAATCTGCAACTTGTATGATTCTCTTGAGATGGTTATATTTAATTTAAAACATAAGAATTTTAAAAACTTATACTGAACATTTTCAATTCGACTGGTACATGATATATAGTGTGGTGACCAAACAATTGATCCATACTCAAGATGAGATCTAACCAAGGAAAAATATAAAGTTTTTAANTTAACCAATGAAAAATATAAAGTTTTTAAGGCATTAGTATTTTTAAAATTTATCGTGCTTCTATTAATACAACCAAGCATCTTAAAAGCTTTTTTAATAAAGGTGTTAATATGGGAAGAAAAATCCAAATTAAAATTTAAGATTATCCCTAAGTCTCTGATAGAGGCAACTCTTGTAACTATATTACTATCAATCAAATAATTATAGGTGATTATATTATTTATTCGGGAAAACGTAATCACACTACACTTATTTATATTTAATGGAAGGTAATTAACACGACTCCATTCAACAAATTTATCTAAATTTGACTGCAATTTTATTGCATCTTTTGGTGATTTAATAACTGAAAATAATTTCCCTTCATCAGCAAATAATAGAATATTAACTGAGCTATCAAAAATAGATGGTAAATCATTTATAAATAGTATGAATAAGAGGGGACCTAAGTGCGACCCTTGTGGTACACCAGAAGTAACCCAAAATTCATTAGAAATAAAACTATTAATTTTAACCACCTGGGTACGAGAACATAGGTAAGATTTTAACCAATTAAAAAATGTACCATGAATACCAACACAAGATAATTTATGTAATAGAATATTGTGGTTTACTTTATCAAACGCTTTCTGAAAGTCTGTATAAATAGTGTCCAATTGAACACGTTGATTTAAAGCCGAAAGGATTTTCTCCTGAAAAAGTAGAATATTTGTAGAAACTGACATTTTGGGTCTGAAACCATGTTGGTTATTAGAAATGAGGGGAGTCATAATTAAAGACAATTTTTTTGTAATTAGTGCTTCAAACATTTTCGGAATTATGGACATTTTGAAAATCGGCCTATAACTTGTAACATTATGTTTATCTTCAGATTTATATACTGGTGTTACAAATGACCTTTTCCAAATGTTAGGGAAATAACCCAAACTTAATGATTTATTTAAAATCATATGAAGCGGACGAGCAAGAACCGAGCTACAATTTTTTAAAAATATAGGTGTAATACCATCAGGTCCAGTACCAGCATGAGCATTTAAAGAATTTAAATAATCAACAATTTCATTCAGATAGATAGTCCAGGAGTGTAAATTCAAATAATTATCAGATCCACCAGAAGGGAGAGGATCAAGTCCATTAAAGAGCGGAAGATTTTTGGTATAGACATTTGAAAAATAGTTTGCAAATAATTGAGTTGTTTCTAAAATATTAGTAGAAGATGAGTTATAGTAATTTACACATTCCGGAACAGAATTATTAGACTTCTTTAGAGAGTTAATGAAATTCCAAAAAGGTTTGATATTTGTTTGAATACTGTTTTCAATATTGGAAATATATTGAGCATGGCATATATTAATAAGATGTTTACATTTTTTTCTTAAAATAGAGAAATCATAATAATTAGTATCAGAAGGGAATAATTTAAATTTTTATGGGCACATTTTAGCTTCGATGCGAAGCTGAGAAGGTATTGGTTTTACTATGATGTGTTTTTTTTTTTTCTATGTCTGTTACCACTTTTTCTCAGCTCTCACCGAACGGATTTCTTTCAACGATACGTCAAAAGATCACAAATCGTATCTAGTCGAAGACATTACCCTTCAAAATTGAAAAAATTTCCCTCGTTCCCCGTAAATGGGGGAAACCTCCAAAAAAATTACGACTTTAAAAATCGCTAATTTTCGAAATTTATTCAATTTTTTTTACTTAAAATTGCCATAACATTTTTAAAAATAACCGAATCAATATAATTCTTTTTTGTAGATGTTTGATGTCTTTACCTATCATTTGGTTTATTGTTTTTATAAATCTGACCCTTTACCTGGCCATAGGGGGGGATTTAAAATGACGACTCTTTCACAAAAAATTAACTTTTTCAACTTAACTTTTGAATGTGTTCCGGAAATACTAACACTTTTATATATCTTAAATTAAAGCTAATGTAATATACTTTAATTTGAAAAAAAAAATTTTGACCTCTGGACTTGTCTTCATGGTGAAAATGGTTACCGGATGCAATTTTTGTGTGAAAATTCTCGATTTTATAATTTACATTTTTTACTTTAAAGTGCTATAACTTTTTAAAAAATGTATGGATCAATACAATTTTTTCATGAGAAGTAGTATTTATATACATCTTTCATTGGATATACTTTTTTTTNTTTCATATACATCTTTCATTGGACATACTTTTTTTTTAATCGAGATATTAATAAGGAACCAGCAGATCAAATAGCTTTTGGAATAAAACACCAATTTTTTAAAATTAAACACTATCTAAAGATTTGCATCGAAGCGTTTATTTTTGATAGTGATTTTAATCACNTGAATACTGTTTTCAATATTGGAAATATATTGAGCATGGCATATATTAATAAGATGTTTACATTTTTTTCTTAAAATAGAGAAATCATAATAATTAATATCAGAAGGGAATAATTTAAATTTTTTATGGGCACATTTTTTTTTAATTATACAATCTCTGAGTTCAGAATTTGCCCATATAAGTGTATATTTATTATATATTTTTGTTTTGGGCACAAATAAATCAAAAGAGTGATAAATAATTTCATAAAATTTTTCAATAAGCAATTCAAAAGATAAATTATAATTCAGATTAAGATCAAAATCAATACTCTGAAGAAAATGAGAAATATCATCAAAGTTACAGTTTTTAAAGTTATAAACTAATGGAGATTCAAAATGTTCATTACCCAATGAATTATTAAATTGTATTATAAAATCTAATGGTGGATGATAATTATCAATTATAGGAACAAGAGATTCTGACGAATGTAAACTATTTGTAAGTTCAATATCAGCACTAATCAATATGCAATCAAGAGTTCGACCACTAAAGTTAATTATATGGTTTACTTGTTTCAAATTTAAGAAATTTATATAACAGTTAAAAATTAGAGAACTTGTAATATGATCTTGAGTGATTGAATCGATAGACCAGTCAAACTGATTTAAATTAAAATCACCAGTTATAACATAATTATAATTGGGGTACATTAAATAAATAGACTCTATGACCTCACAGTGCTTAGAATATACATCACAAGAACTGCCTGGTGAAATNTATCACAAGAACTACCTGGTGAAATATAAATACAACCTAAAATTATATTAACATTATTTAAACTAATTTTCAAAAAAATTTGTTCAATACCCATAACACTAGAGACATTTAATACGTCACAACTAATTTTTTTATTTACTGCAATTAGTACACCACCACCTCATTTTTTACCATAGGACAAATTATTACGATCATTATGATATAAATTATAATTAGTGAAACCAAGTTCAGAATCAAAAACATTTTCATTAAGCCAAGTTTCAGTTAAACATATTATATTATAATTAACATTCAACAATGCGTTGCGTAAAAAAGGGATCTTTGTTAAAAGACCACGGACATTTTGGTAGAAAATATTAATTATAAANTCACGGATATTTTGGTAGAAAATATTAATTATAAAAAATTTCCAGCACGGGCATTAAAACGGTTATCTTTAGTCACGATGGTAGGAGTTCCTCTTATGTATTTAATGATTAAATTAATTTCACCATTTGATCTACGAGACTCTAGTTCATCAAAAAGTTTTTTCATATAGTTTCTCTTATAAAGAGTACGATCCGAACTGATACCTGATACTAATAGTGGAAGGTGGTTGTAATAATAACAACTTTTTTTTTGACTTCAATATTTCAAACACATCAGCTGGTGTGCTAAAAACAGCTTTAATTGGACGGGGATTATTTTTACCATGAATACCAAGACGAATAACTTTAGACGGTCTAATATTCCCACTAGTAATAATCGAATCAATTACATTACTCACAAGATTAGAGTCATGATTAACTCGGTCGACTGCATTATCAACGTTGGACTTTGGAACGTTGTAAAATATTAGATTAGATGCTCTGATATTTCGTTCGCCGACTTCACCAATTATAAACTCCTCAGAAAAATGTTGAGCGTTGTTATTTTGCTTCTGACTCTTTAGTTCATTAACTTCAGCTAATAAACGATTAATTAATAGTTTAAGCTCGGGAATATCACGCAAACCCTTATTGCATGCTTCGCAAAAAAATTTCAAATTTCGATTCTTCAAACCAAGACATTTTATTTCACTATTATTAAGACCTGAGCATTTGTTATGTGTTAGAACGTTACAGCCATCACACTTAATAGGAACATCAAACTCAGCAAAACCAAGATTACAAATATAACAGTTTACACTATTTGAAGCCATAAGAAAAGTTACGAATAATAACAATAGAATAAAATAGTAACAAAAAATAAGCACAACCTTACGGTACGACTGTACAATTACAATTGTATTCACAAATAAAATATGCACACATCCAGATAATATGCTGCAGCAAAATATTCTACTAGACTACACGAACTAATTACATCACCTAAAATATATTTAAGCACTTAATACTTCTGTAACTTTCTTTAAAATTTTTTTTTTTTTTAATAATATATCCAAGCAACAATATAGTTTCTTAGATTTTGTCGTGATATGCTTAATACTTTGCATTACGCATCTCACAATTATCAATAAAGAAAGTATAATCTGTATTTTAAATAATTTGTAAACAAACAAATAATTTATCTGTCATAACAAATACAATGTTCAACACAATTTCTTATTATATACATATATGTCAACTCATCTATTATTAACTATGCTATCAATATAATTATCATGTAATGTATACTTTAAAACAATAAAATATAATCATGAATAACACAAACGGCAATATCCCTGGATATGGGGGTACCTTTTTAGTACTATAAAAAGTACTGATATCCATTGAAAAACCCAGAGAGACAGAGAGCCACGGCTACGGCTAAGGCCAGAGCCACAGCTCCAGTAAGCTAGTTATTTCCTACAAACTACTCTTGCTATTACATTTTGATCACGGCCCCGTGCTGCCGTTTGAGTTATTTTATTTTGTTTACTTTATTTATGTTTAAAACTTATTTTGATCTATAAAGACATTATTACCATAAACAAATAATATTGAGTAAAAATTGGCATTTCTGGTAAATACTTCATTTATCTTCTTGGACATTACAAAATACGAAGGTAAGTCAATTTATATTATTCCATTTATTTAAAGTTAATAATCTGAGTAAAGAACGATAAAGCAATAGATCTATAATCTCCTTTTAATATCAAGAGCTATTTTGCTAGTTTGTTCACACCTGCTACATATATACATTACAGGGTCTCGAGGGTCGGATACCGCCCCGTGCCTAAAAAGAGTTTAAAAACCTAATGTGTATCTGATTATATTAATAGACACTTCAACTGGGTATTCGAGGGTCGGATTACCGCACCGTTACCTCAGTGTCCTATTAGAGGTGTTTACAAGTTTAATATCTCATATTCCTCAAGAAAGAGGACATGCTTTTATTTCTTCATAACTACTCGTCTTTATTGTACTAAACCCTCGAACCATACGATCCCGATAAAACCACAACATCAGGTTCTCACTATACCCATCATTTATCGCTCATTTTCATCATTTATATTTTATCAACTTTTTACTTTTTTTATTTATATTTTTGAATTATAACAATTTAATAATATGTAAATTATATTATATATATTTATCACATACATTTTAAAACATTTATTTTATCAAAGTTCTTTATTCTAACAGTAATGATATAATGAACTTTGAGTATGTTGTGTCGTTCACGGTCTTCAGGTTTTCACCAATGAAGACACATAAATTCAACAAAGTTGTTTTCACCACTAACCGAGGTTCTATCAGACTTTAGCATAGTGTAATTTAAATGTAAATGTCAAAACTCATGTTTTAAAATTGTATTAATGAACTATTTATTATTTTTATACCTTAACACTAGGGACCAAGGAATAAAGAACAGATAGAATAGTATGGATGATAATTCTTTTGTTTATTCAATTTAGTCAAATAATAACAAATTCAATTCAAATAAAATTATTATGCCAAAAGTTCAATTGGATAATATCAAATATATTTGCTATAAAATGTTCAAAATTACTCTCCCACATCTTCTACGCTCACACATCAGCTGTCCTCATATTGCATTCAATAACATCTCTCCATCTCATTCTTGATCTTCCTCTACCTCTTCTTCCTTCAACATTCATTTCTATAACTGTTCTTACAGCTTCCGATTCTTCTCTCCTCAAAACATGACCAAACAATCTAAGTCTATTTTCTCTCACCATATCCACGATTGACGCTACACCTACACTCCCTCTTATATGCTCATTGCTTAACCTATATTCTCTAGTCGCTCCACTCATCCATATAAGCATTCTCATCTCTGCTACACTCATTCTCTGCTCTACTTTCATATCAACCTACCAACATTCTGGACCAAACATCATAGCTGGCCTTATTACATTCTTGTAAAATTTACCTTTCAGTCTCATTGGAATACTTTTATCGCATAAGACGCTAGTCACTTTTCTCCACTTCAACCACCCGCACTGAATTCTGTGTCTTACATCCTCGTCAATATCATCACTCTTTTGTTAATTTAATACTTATGTCAGGCACTATAGTTCAAAAAAAATCATTTGTCTTGAATAATCTTCTATATGCAAATAGTTGCCGTATTTAAAAAAAATGTGATTTTCATGCAAATTTTATACTTAATTTTTTCAATTTTAAATTACTAGAACGTATAAAAAATGTATAGATCAATTCGATTTTTTTTTTCATATATACATAATGTTTATTTCTTTCATTTGACATAATTTTTTTTAATTCGAACCATTTTACTTTATACAGAGGGGTTTTAAATCTTTAAAATTACGAGTAACATATTGACATTTTTCCAACTTAACTTTAGATAATGTTTTGGAAATTTTCCGAGCTTTAATTATATGTCAAAGTAAGGGTTATGATAAATAATATAAGTTAAAAAAAATGGTAGCAAAGTGGGGTCGAGGTATTGTATAGTTGTGACATAGTGTTACAAGTATAGATGATATCTGACAGTGATTAAATTCGCCATCTTAAGAAATGCATTAAAACAAATTTTTAGATAGTGTATAATTTTAAGAAATTGGTGGATTATTCCAAAAGCATAATTAACTCCTATATTTTGTTTTACTTCGACTACTATTTGCATATAAACAATAAGTTGTCAGTTCAATTATTTATTTTTTTTTTTTTGAACTTCTAGTACATAAAATAAGCTTTATTATAACATATATTTAAAAGACGCACTATTCACGGAAAATTTTCAAAAGTAAAATTGAAAAAGTTTTCAAAAATTCAAAAAAGCTTTTCTTAACTTCGAAGAGGAAAAATAATGATAATAAGTAAAATTTATATTTAATATAAATTAGTTAGATTCGTGTAAATTTTATATTTATTAGTGGCCATAACTAAGGCAAACCCTTACAAGGTTTTTAAAAATAAATAAATTTTTAACACAAAAATAGCATGTTTTCTTAATTACGGCAGCCGTTTACATAAAGAAGATAATTGGTCGAGACAATTTTTTTTTTTTTAATTTGTAGTACGTAACATAAGCTTAAATTTGACATATGTTTAAAAGACGCAGTATTCCCAGAACACTTTCAAAAGTTACGTTGAAAAAGTTATTTTGAATCCCCTTTTGTGGCCAGGTTAAGGGTCAGATTTTCAAAAATATTATATCAAATTAAAGGGAATTACTTAAAGTTTTAGTTTTAAAAAAATTATATTGATTTGTTTATTTTTCAATAAGTAAAATCAATTTTTAGAAAAAAAATGTCGAATTTTACCGCTTTTAAAAATCGTAATTTTCGAGATTTCAACCATTAACGTAGAACGAATGGAAAATTTTCAATTTTTGAGGATAATGTCTTCAACTAGATACGATTTTTGATCTTTTGACCTGTCGTTGGGAAAAATCTGTCTAGTGAAAGCTGAGAAAATATAGTGACAGACACAAAAGAAAATAAACACATCATTGTTAAATTAATACTTTCTCGGCTTTAATACTTTTGTAATAATACTAATAAAGTACTAGGACATCGATAATTTTTTTATTACATTATTAGAAAAATAAGGCTTTCAAATCTAATACATACATTTCTTCATATTCTTATGTCACTTATAAAATCTATCCATATGATTTGCAACCAGAGCTAGCCACCCTAAATGTGGGCCTGCCATATCTAATATTAAAAAACTATTTTCAAATTTATTTATTACAATACCTTCAACTTTGTCTGCGTAATTGCTAAAATATTTTCTACAAAGTGGACATTTATTTTCATTTCTAATTAGTAGTGTATCAGCACATTTTTTACATAAACAGTGATGACACTCATTCAATATAACAAGTACATCAGGTTTTTCGAAACAAATTGGACATTTTTCAGCAGCATCAAAAAATGATTATATATAACAAATGTTTCCATATTGTTTAGAATAAATTAATTTTTAAATATGAAATACCATATAAAAATATTTACGTTATAAATTATGAATGGCAATATTATTTTTAAAACTTACCTTTATAATTTAGTGAGACTAAAATAATTTAAAAAGAATATCAAAAATTTTATTATTATCTCAAGATTATTCTACTAATTAATTGTAATTTTACAAGAATGAAACATTTAAAAACACAAATTGAGGTCATGGTACGGATAATTTATTCAATAATTTCTCCTGAATTCTCAATAAAAAAAATTAATTACATGTACAATATTATTTATACATTTACTTATTTTTAAATAAAAAAATACAATATACAAAAAAAATTAATTACATTTTTAATTAATATTTTTTAATAATACATAAATATCCTTTATATTCAAAAATTATATGTCTTATTCTTTATATTTATTATAGAATCATGCTCTGCATAACTAAATCTCCTCGTTTACAGATGTTGTAATTAATTATTAAAATAATAAACAACATTAACAATAGTTCCTAATTTTTAGATCGATGCGAAGCTGAGAAGGTATTGGTTTTACTATGATGTGTTTTTTTTTTTTTTTTTTTTTTTTTCCCCTTTTTCTCAGCTCTC